GCTTTTTTGTGCAAGGTTTCTGGAGCTTGAGGTTCAGCTTATTAAGCCTGTAGGTGGAAGCAGTGTAAAAAAAAAAAACAATCTGTTCTCTCCATCTCAACAAATTTGATGCTTCTTCCAAAGCCAAGACTTGTATTCAGACTTGCAGTCAGTCACTTAGAGGTCTTGGAAAACTAGGAGAGGAGAGAATTAAGCTGCAGTTCATGTTATCTAAATTATTTGTTAAATCTTCCTACTGACAATGATAGATAATTGATACCTAGTGACACATGAGGCTTTGTCCAGTCCTAATTTGAAATACTGCAATCTCCCAAAGTAAGACAATACTACTCTTGTTATGTGGGCAGGTGGTCTTTATTTGCCCAGTGAACCCAGCCTTAAATGCACTCTGAATTTTTCAGTGTTAGAGGTGAAGTCTTTCATCTCTTGTCAAAACACATGAGGCTGCTGAAGTGTGCACTTGTAGATCACTGCAGTGTGGTCTGATAGAGCAGTTTGAGATTACAACATGGTCAATCTGACATGTGCTCTGCTTAGTTTCAAACTGGGATTAGAAAAATCATTAGGAGAGCTCTTCCACGGGTGGTCTCATGGTAAACACACCTTCCCCATCACTGAATGTAAGTAGCACTTGAACATGAACCCTGAGACCCTCTCAATCAGACGGCAAGTTGCAGAACGATTACTCTTTGATGGTTAGGCTGGTCCAGCCATCACCATTGCCATTTTTCTGGAAGATGGTAAATAAGCAGCTCAGACTTGCTCTGACTGAACACAAGGAACTTCAGCTTCCACTACAAGAGCTCTGCCAGCATTTTTAATTGTCCCTTTGTTCTAAATCAAGGTGTTTTCAGGTGGGTCTGGCAGTGTTGTAGTTGCACCGTAAAGGCAAACAGTGAACTTCCCTGCAATCCTTTTCCTGAGTGTTTTTCTGCAGTTCCTGTTTATGAAGATATGGTTACAAAGACAGGGCATTAAGTAAAAATGTTGGGAACTATTAACTCCAGTACTGAATTTAGCCAAGCTACCTGTGTGTCATCTGTCCTGGGTCTGTCACAAGTTCCTAGACCACAGCCCTTTGACACGTGGTGCCTTGCCCTTTTCCTCCTCCTCCTCCCTTGACATCAGCATATCTAGAGACTTCACTAACAGCTCTGTCAGAGCTTTTGGGGCTTTGGTTTTTGGTAAATGAATTTTCAGACACTATTACTGAGACACACCAGTGATGCACACAGCACAACTGAATGCTGACTTCAAGGACCTTTGTGAGCAGCCTACAACTGGCTACAGTCAGTTTCAAGGCTGAAAATAATGTATATAAGCAGTGGATCACTTTCAGCTCTCTGCTCCTTTAGCAGTAGGAATTGAGTCATAGAAGCAGGGTTTGCTTTGCTTGATATGTGACTTGTCTTGCAATCCCAAAGTTTTTGTGTATTAACACTCCAGCAGCATAGCTGGAGGTAAATTGCTCAAGTGGATACATCTCAAAGGAGAGAGCAGCGCGTACCATCTTCAGGACTTCATTGCCAGTGTAGTCACCTGGATTGCTTCCAAGTTTTTCTGGAAATACTATGCTTGTCTGGAGCTTAATTAAATCCTTCAGGGTTTTTTGGGTTTTTTTTTTTTTGTAAGACCAGAGAAGGCCTGAGCCTTGTGCTGCCTGTGTATGTCACTTGTGAAGAACATCTTGTGTCTGGCTCGAGTCACACTCCATGTGTCCGTATCCCTTATGTGGGTTGGTTCATTTGGGAAGGTGCTGGAGCCACAGTGACTCAAAGCAGTGTCTCTTCCATGGCTTCTAGGTGAAGAGCAAACAGCCCTTCTTGACTTTATGATTTTTCTCCAAGCTTAGAATGCCTCAGAGCAGCACCAGCCAAGGGAGGGTGCCCTGTTACTGTACCCTCTTCTCACTGGCAGTGGGAGTGACACTGGCCTGGACTGCCTCAGCTGTCAGGGGAGCTTAGGCACAAGTGCCATCAATGAGTCAAAGCAGTGCCAGCTTTCTATGCTGTGCTGGAAAGGTCTCTGGAGTTATGCTGAACACCTGTACAAGGTGCCACAAAGCCCCTTTGCTTTGGTCTGACTGACAAGCTTCCATTGGAATCAAAGTCCTTGCACGACCAAAGAGGAGATACAGAATTTTCTTCTTGGATCTCCACTATAGTTCTGCTGGGATATTGACCCATCTCATGGACCCTGCCAACTGGAAAGTCTTTAAAACAAACAAACAAAAAAAGCTAAATAAAACCCATTTGTATTTGTTATAAGCCCAAGTCAACACCTTTCCAAAGGGGCAAATTGTGTCATTGTTACATGATAGCTTGACTGTAATTCCCAGTGACAGATATCTAGCCATTCTTCCTGAGAAAGCATAACCTCTTTCTCTGAAAGTTCCTAGCCAAAAAGGTGTGTAAAGAGCCTGGGAAGAGGAGACCTGTGCCCTTGTTTTTCTCGTGAAGCTGTATTAGAACAGGCAGAGTGACTTCCAGTATTCTTGGTGAGCAGTTGACTATGAAAATATTTTCAATTTGGCAAAAATATATTCTGTAACTATCTCTAAATGCTGCCCTAAAGAAGCCTGTATATTGAGACACCCTCCCTGCTGCCATGTTCTGAGTCAGATTCTCTGGAGCTGAGAGCTGCAGGGGAAATGATTTGCAACTAGCAATGCAATTTTTCTATATCTGCTGATGTTTACCTTTAAAATTATATATAAATATATATAAAACTGTCTTTGATTTTTTTCTTTAATTTTTGTTCTTGTGTGGTGTAAAATGGAAGTCATTGCAAAACAAAATGTAATTTTGTTATCTTTGATTCAGTGGGGTTTCTTTATTTAAAAATAAAGGACTTATTGAAGTCAGTGCTACAGCTAGTGCCTGTGTGTGAAGTTCCATATGTTGGCAGAGGCTCTCAGTCTTCCCTGAGGCCCAGCCTGGGGAGCTGGCTGGGGGCAGGTGATACAAGCACTCGTGGTGCTCAAGCCTCTCCTGGTTGCTTTTTGTCTTCTGGCCAAGAAGAGGTCTTTGATGCCACTCTGGTGGAGAATGGGTATAGCATCAGTTTAAAAAAGCACATCTGCTGTGAAACTACTGAAAGAGTTATTTTTGCCAGTGGAATAGAACATTTATTTTTCCCTATGTGAGAGCAAGTGCATGTCTTAATCTTTGAGCTGCTGGCAGAAGAAACACAAACCAGCATCTCTGGCCGGGACAGTGACATCTTTGAGCCTAGAGCATACAAAAGCCCTGGCAAAAGCTCTACTCAGCTGCCCCTGACAACTCTCCACTGTGTGGTTTATTACCTACAGCCCAGGGGAGGGGCTGTGGAGGGTAACTGGGACTGGTGACCTGCTGGGGCGGCTGGACTGGGTGCTTTGTGGGACGCAAATTACATCTGTAATTTACTGGCTGTTGTGAGATAGCTGTTAGATCCTCTCCAGGACTCCTTCCTGCCTTGGTCAGTCACTCAGCTCCCAGCTCTGCTGGGCTGTTCTCTGTCTCCCCATCAAAGCAAGCTCCTGGCTGACAATTTGTCACAGGAGTGGTGAGCAGCCATGGGCACCTCCCAAGAGCTGAGACTATCCCAATGTAAACCCCTGGGCAGCAATGTGATACTTCTATGTGAATGGATTTTTTTCCCCTTGTTCTGTTTCCCCAAGCTGCAATTGCTCTGCCTCCCAGGCAAGCTGTGCTGTTGTGTTTGCACTGGCCTGATGCTTGCAGGGTTGTCACACGCGGTTTCCTTGGGATGGCTCCAGGTGCAGAAAGGAGCCAAAGGAGGTGAAGTGCCTTTTGCTCTGTCTCTGGACTCTTGCACAAAGTTGGCACAGCCTAAGGATTTGGGACTCTCCATGCATGGACTCAGCAAGCAGCTGAGGCTGGAGCAAACATCTAACCCCAGACAGACCCTGTCCTCCCTGTGGCTTCAGAGCTGCTGTCCTGTTTGGTTTGAGCCTGAGCCAGGGCCCTGATGAATGTGGCTCTTGTCAGCACCCTCCACCTCAGCCAGCTTTGGGTGGGGGGGGCTAATCTGGCTGATGAAAAGGACCCGTGTGGAGTCCTTCCCTCCCTGGGAGGTGGGACAGGACCCACTGTGGGACCAGGCTCAGGGAGAAGGTAACCTGGGCAGAGACCAGGAACCTGTTCCTCTCTGAGCCCTGCTGCTGGCCAAGGGAGCAGATGGTCAGGGAATGGGTTTGGCTTTTTGGAGGAGATGCCTAGTTCATGAACCAGAACAGACTCCCTTGCTTGGGACAGCTACTTATTCCTTCCTCTTCCCCATCTGAGCAAGGTGTAATTAGTGTCAGCTGCAGCTTGTTTGCTGCACAGGTACCATCCTTTGCCCTCCATGGTGACTTTTGGTGGGGCTTCCCCAAATGAGCTCCCTTTCACAGTGCAATGCTAGGAGAAACAACTGTGCTGATGCTTTTGAAGGATTTAGGAGGGTACATTCTGCTTTTCTTTCAATTGTTTTGCGATTGAAATCCATCTCCTAGTCTCAGTGGCTAATGCAGCTTCTGTTCTCCTCCCTGCCCAAGCAGGAATTAGGCGGAGACAGCTCCACCTGGGACCCTGGTTGGGTTTTTGTTTGCCTCTGTTTTCTCTTCCCTGGTTAGAGCAGATGACAAAGAGCTGGGGGCCCTTTCTCAGACAAGAAAGGGACTTGATCTGGAATGCAGGGAGGATGGAGATAGGCAGTTCCTTGATTCCAATGATGAGGGGACAGGAGTCTCCTGCCAAATGCAGGTACTGATCTCCTGATCTCCTTAGAACCAGCAGTACAGCCAGCACCCAAAAAGCTGTGCCCCTGTTCCTCACCATGAGCGACCGCAGAGCTCTGCTGTTAAACGCTTTATTTCTCCCTCACTGTAGCCCTCCCTTCCCAAAGCCCACACTCTCCTGTCCTCCCCTTGCAGCTCCAGGAAATGCTGTGGGAGAGAGCTGGTGGCCTCCTTTCTCCACCAGCTCTGGAGGGAAGGATCTGTGCCTGGGAGGGACAGCCCTCTGTCTGGAGAGGGGACAGGAGGGACAGGCATGGAGCAACGCACCCAGGGTGCTTCAGCACGAGCAGTCACTCGACCGATGCTACAGGAGGGAGGTGGCTGGGGTTAGAGGGCCACCTCTGGTGCTGTGGTACAGGGGAGGGCAGCAGGCTCCTGCTTTAGAGAGCCGTGTCCTCAGATTCGATGCGAGGCCCAAAGAGCTTCTCTGCAGTTGCTTTGCCATCGTACTTGGGCAGGTTGCCACCAAAGTCTGCTGGCAAGATGTCAGCGTCGATCTCCTGGTAGAAGGATTCCAGCTCCTCACCGTGCACAAAGACCTGGAGGGAGATGGGAGTGACCCTCAGCAGAGGACCAGGGCAGCTCTCCCCAGCTGCTCTGTTTCACCCAAGGACGTGCCTTTGCCTGCAGGTCCCTTCCCCACACTCACCCTCTCCAGCAGTTTGCTCTTCAGGAACGGTTTGACCACGTTGTAGGTGGTGGTGAAGTACCAAGGCTGGTGGATGAAGTGGACGGCCTTGAACCGCGCTGGGAAGGAGTCCTAGGATCCCAAACCCAGATGCAGATGGTTACAGATGGTGATCTTCCCTTTGCTCAGATCTTGCCCAGATCTGAGCAGGCAGCACTGGATACACCAGCACTGCACGGCTCCCCTCGCTCCATGTCCCCTTCTCTATTTGATGGCCTTTTCTGTTCTGACCCAGAGCATCAACCATCCTGGCCTCAGGAGTACCAGGGAACTGAAGAGCCTCTCAGACTGCTCACTGCTCCTACTCCATGAGAAGGACCTCCCCTGGGAAGAGCCGAGTGTCTTTGGCATTTGGTCCAAGGGCAGAAATTCTGGAGTCTCCAGGAGTCTGTGAGTCTCCGTCCAGCCTGGGCTGGGCTGGGCTGAGAGGCTCATGAGGAAAGCCCTCCAGGCCATGCCCGAGGATGCTGCAAGAAGTGGTAGTACTGCTTCTGGCTAGCCATTTGAGAAGGGAGATGGGGTGGGCAAAATTTTTCAGGGTTAAGCCAATTAGCTGGCAAGGCAGGGAGAGGGTGGTGGAGCCTCTCCTCAATGCTTTCTCATTGTTCCAAACCCTGCTAGCCCTCCCACCTTCCTTCTCTGAGCTCCCTGCTTCCCCAGGGTCCCCTCTGCCACTGCTGGGTGCAGACTTTGCCACCTCACCTGCAGCATGTCCACCATCTTCTTGAGCTCTGAGGGTTTGATCCCTGATGCCTGCTGCATGGTGAAGCCCTTGAAGTTCTCAATGATGCAGAACCCATTGATCTGGGTCTCTTCGTTCTCCAGTAGCTTCTCCAAGATAATACAATAGGCACGAAGGATCTAATGGAGAGGAGAGACAGCAGGGTCTTGTATGAGGTCTCACCTCCCACAGACCCTAGGGGGTCCTCAGGAAGAGTCCCATGGAGCGTTATCCAGGGTCTGTTGGACTCCAGCCTGCTTGTCACAGCCAGCCCCCAGATTTCAGAGCAGGGAGGGGGTGACCACATTCTGTTTTCAAGTCATGAGCATCAGATCTGGATCAGTGATACACTGAGACCAGATTCAGAGCTAAGCAGAAAAGGAAACCATGAGAAGCTGTGAGTTACGTGTTTGGAACCTCTTTGCCAAGAAACCCTTTTCATGCCCTGGGCCTCAGTTTCCTCCTGTGCCCTTGATTTAATGGTGTGGTGCCTTTCTGCAACCCATGTTACATGGGCTGAGGGATGCACACCCTGAATTTGGCATGCATCTTGCACTGCATCCTTTGGGGTAGACTGTTACATTGTGCTCATGGGCATTCTGTTCCCCATTCCCCAGGACCCCTGTGACTCTGATCAGATAACCCTGGACCCCTCCTTCCTGCCCTGACAGGGTTGCTGGAGAGCCAAGAAGGCCTCTCTGCCCAAAGTCTAGATAAACCCCTGACATTTCCTGTTCGTGCTCTTTTGCCCCGCTCTCCCCAAGGACATCACAGAATAAAGAGAGCTGAACCATCATATATTGGGGTAAGAGCCTCTTTTGGAAATCTTTGCCATCTCCTGATATTCCTCCCCTCAAAGCCTCGGATCTCTGGGCTAGCCTGATAATTTAGGGGCTGAGAGGGTAGAAGTATCAATAGACCATACTTTCCCAGGCTCCATCAAAGGATAAATCCAAAGTGCTACAGACTTACTTCCACCTGTATGGCTGGACGGATGCACGTGTGTGTGTAAGGAGGATGTGCTCACATGTGCCGAGCGGGACAAGCCCAAAAGCAGCACCACTGCTGTGGGAGCAGCCTCTGAGCTGGGCTCACCTCATCGAAGGTGATCTCCTCGTAATCCCAGTTCTCGATGTTGAAGAGCATCACCACCCGGCCGTACTTGTCCCTGCTGGCCAGGATGCCGGGGTAGCCGGCCTCGATGGTGCTGCGCACGGCCTCGGGGCTCAGGTTGTCAAACAGCTCGGGGTACTGCTGGCGGAAGTTCACGTAGCCTGGAGAGAGGCAACAACTGCAAAACTGCCTGCTTTCCCAGCCTCGGGAAGCTGGGGGAGCTGCCAGAGACAGGATGGGCTAATGATGGTGCGATGTCAGTGCTGAGCCCAAGAGCTGTGGAAAGCTCTGTCCGTGGCCCACATGGGTCAGGTCTCCTCCAGCAAAGGGGAAAAGAGAAGCTCAGCAGCAGACCAGCCCCAGCATGCTTGGTGTTACCCCTCCCCTGGCCAGGAGCCTTCCACGCCTGCTTTCTTTCCAACACCTTAACAAGCAGATAAAGTAATTTCCCCCCTCATTTCCCTTCCCCCTTTCCTCCCTGTTTGGGTGAAAACCCCCATCTACCCTCTCTTGGCACCCGGCAGGCACGAAATAAGGAATTTCATCCTGGGAAAATGCAGGCAAACAAAACAGCTCGTCTGAGAGCCAGCACTGATAATTGCAACTCATTATCCCCATAGCTGACACAAAGAAGAGCAGAGCTGGAGACAGGCAGGTTCCAGTCAGCAGCCACCCTCTGGGCTGCTCTTCTGTTCCCCCTCCATGCCTTTGGGTCACTCCCAGTGTGAGGAGAGGGTGCCACAAGCACCCAAACCTGTCCCCAGACCTAGAGGTGCCCCAGGGGGGTGCAGAGCCTCCCAGGCACCATGCACAGAAGCATCAGGAGGGTGCAGAACTGGCTCCTTACAGGGGTACAGAGGGGGGAGTGTGGGGCATGTACAGGGCATGGGGGTCTCAAGGGGATGCAGCCCAAGCCAGCTGGGTTTGCTACATGAACGAAACCATCACCAAATGTGAGGGTTTTTTCCATTTTGTTTGAGTAAACTTGTGAGGAGTGGGATTGTCCTGGTGCTGCAGGAAGCCTCTTGTCACCCTCATTTATTTCCTTCCCCATCCCGGCTTCTTCCAAGCCCCTCAATCCTGACTTTTTCTATTCATACCCTCTCTCCAAACCCTGACTTTTTCTATTTATCCCCTCTCTTCATTCCCTTCCCATGTCAGGGTCCTGCTTTGCCAGCACAGTCCAGTCTGGGCTAGGAGGCACCAGGAGAGGACTGGGAGCTGCTGGGGGATGTGTACCCTCGTCCTCACATGGCATCACAGCCCAGGACCCCTCCCCACCTTTCAGCAGGTCATAGGCTCTGTGGACATCGAACTTGCGAGCACGGATGAAGCGGAGCAAGAAGGAGTCGTCCCTCTCCTGCACCTTCTCAGCCACCTTCTGGCAAACGTCCTCGCCGCCCGCCCGCTCCTGCACCAGCTCCCGCAGCGCCTTCACCGCCACCTCCCGCTTCTCCTCCGTCTCGTTCAGCTCATCCTTTGCCTGGGGGGAGCAGAGAGGGGACCCAGTGATGCCACACACACATTCTAAAACACCCTGGGGGTCGAGGAGGCGCCCAAAAACTGAGGGAGGACAGGAAGGCTGGGTCACTCAATCCCCAGCTTGGAGACATTTTGGTAAGTGCATCCCCCACCAGTGCAAGAGGCAGTCGAGTCTCCTCTGGCCCCTGAGGAGCAGGTGCCTCGGGCTGCAGCTGTCCCCCATTCCCCACAGCCTCCTCACCTTCTGCAGGGTGTGTGGGGGGATCTTCTCGCACCTCCCAAAGACGGGGCCGTGGTCCTTGGTGGTGAGGCGCTCCAGCTTGGAGCGCAGCGCCTGCTCCTCCTCCGACACGATCCGGAACGTGCCCGTCTGTGGGGAGGAGAGGATGTGGGGGCTCCCCAGACAGCCCCCCAGCTCCCTGCCCCACTGCAAGTCTCCTTGGGAGCCACAGGGAAGGGGAGAGGCTCCACACACACACACTGGGGTTGGGATGGACTGTGTGCTGCTTGGACTAAGGTGCACCCCGTGCACCCCATCCCAGCACTGCAGGAGGGCATGGTCAGAGCCCAGAGGATGGGGCAGTGTGGGGACAGTACTCACAACTGCAGACATGTTGTCCTCTGTCTTCTGTCAGCAGCAGGACACTGGCAGAGGGAAGGAGGAATCAGCATGGATCCAAATGGTCTCCACGGCCTCCCTTATGCCCCATTCCCTGACATCTTGCACAGATGGGGGCAGAAGTGGGTGTCCAGAGGACACCCCCAGCCCTCCTCAGCTCCATCATCTACTGCCTGCATCTCTGCCTGCCCGAGGAACCTGAGCAGCCTGGAGAAACACCAGGGATGTTTGCAAAAGCAGCTTAAAAATCTGTGTATTGATCATCTGATACTTTCACATGTTTTTCTCACTCTGCCTTTCCTCTTCGGGCTGGGAGCATCTCAGCCTGCACTCACTCAGGTGGTCTCAGAGTCTCAGACCACCTTCACATTGGCAGAGGTGAGCATCCAACTTTGGCCAGGCAGCCAGCTCATCCTTTTATTTCTGCTACCAAAATAAATAATATTACCAAAGTAAATACTCATCCACAAAGTGTTTCCCAAACTCTCAAGTCTCACTGCTCTACCAACAGCAAGGCTGGACTGTAAACCTCTCTGCATCTTTCCAACACAGCCTGGATGAAAGACCTTGTTGCCATCCATGAGGAAGAGGGCTGCCTTCATTCTACTTCCAGCATCTACCCCTGCCTATCTGTAACACCAGCTCCAAGCCCAGACTGTGAGAGGGATGCTTGGCTCCAGCTCATCCATTTCCCAGGGGCATCCTCTTTCCCTCCTCCTCCTGGGAAAGGGAGAGGCATCCCCTTGTTCCAGGCATCAAAACCAATTCAAGCTCTGCAGGTGCCAGGTTGAGTGAGGGCTGGATGATGGTCTTCAACGCAGTCCTTTCAGCTGAAAAATGTCCTGGATACTCACCAGGAAGAGGAAAAGCTGAACTGTCCTCGGCAGGTCAGTGCACAGAGCTGAGATGGAAGCAGGGATGGTGAGGCCGGAGTGGAGCAGCAAGGAAGCTGGGCGAAAGCTTTGTAGAGTCACCGGGTTGGGATTAGACCGTCACAAGGCATCAACTCACTGCAGCTTTGCAATTAAGTCAGCCCAGCCCAGGAAAGAAACCCCATTAAAACATTACAAAAGGCAACTGAGGAGAGGGAAGGAGGGAGCTGGGGCTCCACCACCAGCCAGAGCGTGCGTGGAGAGGCGGGCTGGATGCCGGACCCGATTAACAAAGTATAAAAGCTCCTTGTTGTGTAACTCGCTCATTAGCACGGGGCAGGGGCAGAGGCAGGTGGTGGGCAGCCTGCCATCCCAGCCTGCTCTCTGGGGTGAGCAGGACAGGTCTCTTCCCCAGCTTCTGCCCAAAAACCCCTGGCAAGATCCTGCTGTGAATTCAGCCATGTGGGCAGGGTCTGGCTGCGGGGATGGGTATGCAGCAGAGGATGCTCCTGGGACTCTCCAATTCCTCCCCTATGAGGCCTCCCAAACGAGCATCCATACAAGGCCCTTTTCAGCTTTTAAAACAAAAAGACATGGGCAAAATTTCTGCAATACTCTCAAGTGATGATTGACTGCTCGGAGCTCTGGGAACTGGAAGCCATCCACCCCCAGGGAGATGCCACAGACCCATAGGGAGGGGAGCCCCAGGATGTGGGAGAAACAAAGGTCAGTCCACATGTGGGTGCAGCAGGATGGCAAAGTGGGTTTTCTGGGCTGCCCCAGCATGCTGAAGCTATAGGGCAGGAGAGTCCTTGCAGCCTTAATTCTTTGGGTCAAGGTTTGTGGGAGCTGCATGAAGATGTGGAGAAGATGGAGCTGTGCTCAGGCCCAGGAGAGGAGTTTGGCCAGGCTCTTACCATGATGGGGATTTTGGGGAGCTGGCAGGGCCAAGCTAAGCACCAGAGCAGGGCTGAAGGGACTTACACAAGGCATGTTTTGTAATGCCTCTGGGATTTGCGGATTTGGTTTCCACACAGGGCTGTCCTGCAAGCGGAGCTGAGACCCCAATGTGAGGGAGGGAGGAGGAGGAAGGCACGAGACTCCAGATGAAAGGCTGGGGTGCTGCCGAGGGAACATTCAGACCTGTGCCAAAACCCCGAGCAATGCCGCTGTGGCCTGAGGCACTGTGCACTGCTCTTCAGAGGAGACCCCCAGCCCTCCCATCCCCTTCTCACACCAGCCCTGGTGCAAGGCTCAGCTCCCTCCTGCAGCTCGTTGGACCTTTGTGCGCAGCTCAGCACAAAACAGTGCATAACAGGGGTACATCATCAGCATGGGGTTTCTCAAACAGGCCCAATAATCTCTCTTGGGGTGCCAGAGAGAACCTGTGATCCCTGAGGCACCTGGGCAGCCTGGCCAGCACGCTCATCACAGGTGAAACAGTTTTGCAGACACATGTACAACCCCTGGCATCACGAAGAGAGTGTTTTGTCCTGGGTGAACGGGTCTCGGGGGGACCCACCCTGATGTACTGTGACAGAGCCCCTAAGTGCCCCTCTCTCCCGGGTCTGTTATCCCCCTGCCCACAGCGCCATGTCAAACTCGCAGCATCAACTCCTGCTCCATGTGAGCACGGGGTTTGCGAGAGCTCCCACGCGGGGCGGGCACCGCATCCTTCGGCCAAATCCCGCAGCTTAAAGGCGGGCTACACCTCCTGGTACGCTAGAGCCCACCTCACGTCCCCCGGAATTAGGGGGTTTACCCGAATGCATCTGAGCCCCACGTGGGTGCCACTCGCTGCCGACGGGGGTGGCCCTGAATGGGCACTTTGTGCCCAAATGTGGGTACCCGCGGCTGCACGCCCCGCTCCGGGAGCGCTCCCACTGCGCGGCGTGGAGTTTCCCTCACGGGAGATAACCCAGGAGCAGGGGCTGCACTCCTGTGCCATAGCTCTGCGCAGGGAGGCCGGAGCGGGAGACCCGCCGCGGTCCCTCCCTGCCCGCCCCTCTCCGTCACTCGGTGTCACCGCCCGCCCGCCGCCGGCCCCCGCGGGACTCGAACCCGCGGCCGGCGGGAGGGCGGGAGCCGCTCCCCGCGTGACGCGCGGGCACTTCCGGGCGGGAATTTCGGGGGACGGAGCCGCGGCGCGGCGGTCCCGGGCGGTCCCGGGCGGTCCCGGGCGGTCCCGGCCCCATGGCGCAGCGCATCCTCTCGCTGGCGGCCCAGGACGGCCCCGAGCGGCTGCAGGAGGCCCTGCAGAGCCTGGCGGAGGGCGAGGTGCGCGCTGCCCGCGGGCCGGGCGGGGAGCGGGGCTGCGCCGCGGCCGGGCGGCTCTCAGCTGACAGCATCCCCCTGTCTTGCAGCTGGGCGACATGGTGACCAGGCAGGCCCTGAAGGGGAGGGAGACGGCGGCTCTGCTGAGGGGGATCTTCAAAGGTGGGTGATGAGCGCGCTGCGCTCGGGGGGCTGCGGGCCCAGCCCTGGTGGGGGCCGGTGGGTGCAGCTCTGCAGCACAGGGAGAGTCACTTTTGGCAAGAAACCCGCTCGCCGGGGATGTACAGGGGAGCATCACTTTTGGCAAGAAACCCGCTCGCCAGGGATGTACAGGGGAGCATCACTTTTGGCAAGAAACCC